TTCTTTCTTTCTTTCTTTCTTTCTTTCTTTCTTTCTTTCTTTCTTTCTTTCTTTCTTTCTTTCTTTCTTTCTTTCTTTCTTTCTTTCTTTCTTTCTTTCTTTCTCTTTCTCTCTCTCTCTCTTTCTTTCTTTCTTTCTTTCTTTCCTTCTTTCTTTCTTTCTTTTCCTACACCTATTCGTAAATCAATGACCTTAGAGGGATAAGTTGGCTGATTACCCTAGCTGTTGGACAGTCTTACTTAAGAATCATTGTGCAACTCTGCAAGCAGAGCACTGGCTTTTGGACTAATCCTATATAATACATACTCATTTTTTTGCTACTTTTGTAGATGACAGATCATATAGAGTTAAAAACACACTTACAGAAAGTAAGTCTGTGACTACCTCCACTTAATCAGGGGCACACATCCAGATTCAGCTGTAAAGCAGTCATAAGAAATCTATCCAAGGAGCTAAATAGCTGTATTCCTTCCCTGCCCATTAGCACTGCCTGTTCTGTACACATGCTTCGACACCCTTCACCACTACCGTCAATGAACAGCCCTCAGCTCTAGATCAAGATGCCGCTGTCCCTGCTTGGCACATCTAAATAAAGTGCTGTGGTCCCAAGGGACTGACTGTTTTCTTTCTTTTTCTTTCTTTTTACTTAGAACATATTTTCATTTAAAGTTTTCAAGGTAAATTCTACCCTGGCTCATGATTCAAAACAATGCCATTAATATAAAATGGATATCTGAAATTTTACTCCTATGTATAGGTTAAAGAAAGTCATTATGATTAAACTGTATTTTTAATTCATTTTCTTTCATTTTGAGTCCTATTAAAACTTGTCCTCATATTTAATATCCTCCACAGACTGGAATAAATTGCCTTTAATTCACACTCCATCCTTTCATTCAGACTGGCCACTGTTGGCACCTCTCCCTTCAGCTCAATTCCATGGAAGTGTCTCCCAAACATCAGCATTTTATTGACTCACTACTTCATTTTAATTCCTGATAAAAATACACTGAGTAAGAACACCAAATTTGTTCATGCTACAGTCTTGCCTATTCTTTCACACTTGGGATTGAAGCCCATACGCTTCAAACTCCACATGTAAACCTCACCCAGCCTGCAAGGAGCCCAGACCTCTGGCATATGAAACACAGCTAAAAACAGGTGAGCTTAAAATAAACAAATAAATAAATAGCAGACAGTGGCACTCACTGTCCCTTTGTCTGAAACTAAAAGCTTACCCAAAGAGGGAACAGGTCAGTTGTACAAACACTAAGGATTTCCAGAGGTACGTTATATATGAGTTATATATGACTAGAACACACTCTGAAGCCCAGGCCACAAAACACTTCACACAGCTAAAAGTATGCTCAAATTAGGTGCATAATCCACTTTCTTAAGAAGGTTTATTATTATTATTATTGGTGATGGATTGTTTCTTCCTGTACATTTCTTTGGAGGATAAGGTTTTGGTCAGAAGCTGACCCAAACTTTCTGGACTATCTGGGGTTAGCAAGGCAATTTTGGAAATATATTCATGTGATTGACCATGTGAAGCCAAGTAAAAAAAATTATTTACTAAGCAAGCTCAGTTTTCCGGATTTGAGTTCTGGATCTTCAGCATCAGTCTGTTTTTGTGACCCTACAATAATGTTATTATTGACTTTAGGCTTTTTTTTCTCCATAGACAGAGGAAAACCCAAACAGGAGCAGAAGTTGTGCGCTAAAAAAAAACGGCTGTATTAATGGGATGTAAGAGGCTGGGGAGCAGAAAGCTCACCTCTAATGTTTTGACTCCTACCACCACTAATTCCCAGATGACAGCGGGCAGATGAACCAAACATGAAGTTACCATTTGTAGGTAACCAGCAATAGGGAAAAGTGGGGAAGTGGAAATCAGAAACGAAAATATCACTGGAAAATGAGATGCCTTTTTATTAAAGAAGCTCACTGGCAGTGTCTGTTCCTCCTGCTGAATATAACTTCAGAAAGCTAACAACTGCATTTTGTTTAATTGTACAAAGAGATCCAAATTACTGATGAGGATCAGTGTTAAGGACACCAACACACAAACACTTATTTTGGTGGAAGCGCACACTGAATGGGATGAAGTTCTGCAGGGTGCTGCCCGAGGTGCAGCCTGGGAGCTCGGGGCAGGTCACCGTCACAGAGAGGTACTTTGGAGATCCTCATTCAAGCAGTAGTCTCCTCACAACAGAGCTAAGGATTTATTCCTGCTCACAGAGAAAACGAGGCGCAGCAGACCTCCCCGCAGGCTGCAAACACACCTGGATCCCGCCTCATAAGACCTTCAGGGAAAGTCTTTAGAGTGAGGCAAGTCACGAAACCATCCCCAGGCCCGGACGCTCGCAACCCCCTGCTCAGCACAGCGCTGCGACCGCCTCACGGCCCGAACGGCTCCGCAGCGCCCTCCCCGCTCGGCGCCGGCAGCACCACGAGCGGCCGCTTCCCCTCCCCCCGTACGCGGAGCTCACTCGCCGCACAAGCACACACCTCCCTCCCAGAAAAAGCAGCCGCTTCCCTGCTTTATATACCCTGCTAAAAATAGCCCGCAGCCGAACTCGCCAATCAGGAGGGGGCGAATTTCGAATCGGACCAATGGCGGGAGCCGTCACGGCCAGGCTCGGTCACGCCAGGAGGAGCCGCGATGCTTGCCGAGAGCCGATTGGGCTGCTCTGACATCATTGGCACGCGGGGCGCGGAGTGCGTGGCGGAGATTGGGCCGCGCCGGCGGGCGGCGTCATGGGATCACGCGGGGCGGGGGAGGGCGCGGGGGCGGGGGCGGCGGAGCGGCCGGGCGCAGCTTTGAATAGGGAAGTTTTGCAGGGGGTTACATTTGCAGCCAGCGCCGTGTTTGCAAATATTGAGCCCGCTCCTGAGCAAGTGTCCACCGCCGGCCGCGGGAGGAGAGAGCGGCCGCCTCGGGAGACGTCCTGCCTTGCTGTGCAATTAAACTTTGCATGAAACTTCGGGTCTTTTTTCCTCCCTAAGCTCGCCAAGGAATTAATTTCTATCTATTTGTATATATATATATATATATATACAATTTTTTTTTCTTCTCTGGAGGAAGGGGGGGGGCTTGGAGACTGAGAGCAGAGGGCTGACACCCCCCGCACACACCCCTCGAGCCCCGCACACAAGAGGCAGCTGTCCGTGTCCGCGGCCGCCAGCACGGACTTTGTTGTTGCAACTTGAGACATGGATGTGCTCCCCATGTGCAGCATCTTCCAGGAACTGCAGATTGTGCACGACACGGGCTACTTCTCGGCCTTGCCGTCCCTGGAGGAATATTGGCAACAGGTAAAGCAGGATATCGGTGTTGTTGTTGTTGTTATTGTCGGTTTTCTTCTTTTTTTTTTTTTTTTTTTTCCTCCCTCTTTATTCCGCACCTCATTCAATATAACAAGAAAATAAAAAAAAAAAAAAAAAAAAAAAAAAGAAAACAAACCCAAGTGTCAGCAGCGAGTTGGGGCAGAATTAAGCACGAACGCACAGAGGTGCTGGAAAGCAGGTGTCTCGCTTTGCGATCAGACGGCGCTTTTTCGGGCGAAGAGTCCCGCGGCGGCCACACGGAACGGCACATCCTCCGGCTCCGTCCTTCCACGGCCGTTCCGAGCCCCGCAGTTGCGCTGTGCGGTGCGGTGCTGCGGGGCTGGGGTTCGACACGGCCCCGACCGAACCGGCCGCGGTCTACTGTTGTTGTCATTTTATTATTGATTGTTTCTGACGACGATGGGAAAAGCTTACAGCGGAGTACGTGCACATCTGTATGTATTGTTTCGTATATATGTATGTACACAGTATATAAGCACATATAAGCAATATGTGTATACACGCATATATACAAAGTATGTGTACATATATATATACACAATGTAGCTGTTTCCGAGCACAGAGAGCTGTGCGGAGTTGTCAGTCATATGACAGTGCTGCTTGCCTCGGTCGGAAAGGAAGAAGAACGGAGGCTCCTTCCCTTTAATGGACATATTTCGTTGGGTTGTTTTTTTTTATTATTTTTTTCCCCCCTTTCGTGCCCTAATCTGATCCAAGCAAGGCGGTGCGCTCTGCTACCGTACCTCGGTCCCGGGGACCGAGCCCAAAACCTGCCACCGCCTCACAACCTTCCAATTCCCGAGAAGAACGATATGCAAAGTGTTACAAACCTTCACATGCCTACTAATTGTGTGCAATGCGAATTGTATGCAATCCTATGTGGTTTTTCTTTCTTTCTTTTTTTTTCCCTCCCCCCCTTCCCCTTTCAGAGAGGCAGCTCCATAGTACGTGATTGAAATGGAGCTAAGTAGTTTCCTTCAGGCATTCGGGCTCTTGGCGCAGGGCCAGCCCTCTTTCCCAGTAGCCTTCAGAGGCATTTAAACTCGGAGAGAGCTTTGCTCCGGCCCCCATTACTAATCTACCTAATGAGGAATTCAAATTAGCCCGGAATATTAAACTTTAACAAGATCTTAATAAATGCATTTCCTCCCATTTTCTTGGAAAATCAATACGCTATTGTGTCATCCCTCTAGAAACCTTTTTTGTTTCCAGCGTGCATTGCAAACCAATTATAGGCAAATGCATGAACAGTGTGTGCAGTGGTGGGCTTGTTTTTGTGTTGTTTGTTTCTATTTTCCCTTTTTTACCCACACTCCCGGCCTGGCCACGACATGTGACCCACTTTAGTAAAGCAGTGCTCCCATAGACAGATGGGAAGGGGCTGTGAGGGGAATGTGTGGCATTTGGGATCAGGTTTTGCTACCATGATGATCTTGCTAAAATAAGTAGAGTTCGGTATGGAAACTTGGTGTGTCCTTTTTCTGAGTAATGCTTCTGTATGGATTGTTTCCTATAGTGGAAAGAAAAATCCCAAAACATCAGCTTGTTGCCATAACAGTTCATACCCCTTTTTGTTCTCCTCTGAAAATGGCTAGAAAGTCAGCGAGGTGAGCTGACTTGAAGCTGACTGAAAGCCACAGCTTTACCCATTTAGGGTGGTTTTGTTTTTTGTTTTGTTTCGTTTCATGGAGCAGAGGGGAATGCAGTCAGGGGGAGAAAGAGGGGGAAGCTTTCCATGTACTGTTGCATGTATGTTTGAACAGAGCACTTTTTTGGCAGCTGGACAGGATTTTATAAGGAAGTCTCCTTTGGCATTGCGTGAAAGAAAGACTGCGATGACTCATGCAGTTGTACTCTTGGCCAGTAGATAAAGTTCTTGTTCATTGTGGGACTCCCAGCAGGACCTCAGAGTAATTTCCCGTTTTGCATCGTATAGAATAGGACATTTCTGTTCTGGAACTTTTTCTCACTTCTGTTGTTGAAGTTCCCCGTGTTTCTCCAACCATGCACAGAGCAGTGTGAGCAATGTGGCGTGCATGCCAGCGTGCTTGGAAGTGACATTCTTTGAAAGTCGGACGTGCTGTGTTCTCATGCACAGGAAATGGGAGGATGTCTGCTGCTCCACTGATGTCCCCACAGGACGGACAGCAGCTCTGCGGCCATGCTGAAACAGGGCTTTGTTTTCTGACAGGGCGTTGGGGTTTCAGCACACAGTGTTCGCTTGGATCCTCTCAGACTTGTGTTTGTGCAAGAGGGATGCAAACAACTTGACATTAGACAGGGAGTGAGAGTGCAGGGTGACTATTTGTTGTGGTTCTCTACAGTCCTTTTCAATGTCAGCCTCCTAAAAACATGGATTTATGATGAGAGCGAAGATAATTTGAGTGACTCATTAGAATGCTATTTTGAAAACTAAAGCTGACTTGCACCTTCAGCTGTGCGTTTGAACTCCTGCCCAGGTCTCAAGAACCAATTTCTTTTCATCATGGCAGTCACCTAGTTACAGCTGGAGGAGTCTGTAATTTGTTTTGAACATAGAAACCTCACATCGAACGCACTACATTCCTATATGCTTTTTGAAGTGTAAAATACAACTGGGTTCATTTTTAAGCAAGCTTCTAACTTTTCCCTTTTTTATCCTTTTCTTTCACGTAGACGTGTTTGGAGCTGGAACGGTATCTTCAAAGCGAACCTTGCTATGTGTCTGCATCTGAAATCAAATTTGATAACCAAGAGGATCTCTGGACCAAAATTATTCTGGCACGTGAGAAAAAGGAGGAATCTGAACTGAAGACTGCATGTGTCTCAAAGGAGGACAGCCCTACCAGTCAGAACTTAGAGACCAATAGTTTGAACTCAGATGTGAGCAGCGAATCTTCAGACAGCTCTGAGGAGCTCTCGCCCACCACCAAGTTTACCTCTGACCCTATAAGTGACGTTTTAACCAATTCAGGAAACTTGTGTTCTTCTGTTACTTCCACTCCCCCATCGTCTCCTGAGCTGAGCAAGGAGCCTTCTTCCCAGCTATGGAATTGTACGCCGGGTGAGTTGCATTCACCGGGGAAAATTCGTACCGGTACCGCTGGAAAGACTGCAGAAAAAGGTACACCCACCAATGGGGACACCTCGCCAGATGGCAGAAGGCGTGTTCACAGGTGTCATTTTAACGGTTGCAGGAAAGTTTACACCAAAAGTTCACATCTGAAAGCACATCAGCGCACTCATACAGGTTAGTAACCGAACGCTCGCTCAGAGTTGGCAAGTCCTGCAGGGAATACCCCTGATGATAGGGGTTTCACAGCTTACACAAGCGCTGGGTGGGAGCCCAGGTTTGGAGAGATGATGTAATAGTGCTAGAGGCTTACCAGAACAGACGACATCACTTCCTCATTCCCTTCATCAGCCAGCCAAAACCAAGGCACTTGGCTGTTGATGAGTCCGCTGTCATAGCAAACAGGAACAGCTTGGTTAACTGGGCAGTGCTTGGAAAGCTACAGATCTGTGTGGCCTTCAAGAGCCATTGGCCAAAATACACACTAGACCTCTGTGCACATTTATTACTAAAGCAAAGGGAAATGAGATTTTCTTGGGGGAAAAAAAAATAAAAATAAAAATAAAAACCTAAATGAAAACAACAACAACAAAAAGCCAGGAACTGCATATCCAAAAGTTGGGCAGATCACAAAGTAGCATACGAACCTGTCTTCATGGTCCTCTCTACATTGGGTCTATTCAATCAGACATCCGAAGGCCTGGAGTCTATAAATTACAGCTATAGTTGTAAATAATTTAACAGTTTGGTGTGCTGTCATGTCAGCAAAAATCTTGGAAAGCCACGGTCTGTTGTAGTTCTTTGAACGTTTCTTCCTAATTGGACTTGCAAATGTATGACTGTATAATTTCATCCCAAAATACTGAGTAACAGCACTGTATTGTTACGGAGCCTGAACTGGAAAAAAAAGCAGTCCTGTGTGTTATTGGGAAAGAAAGTAAGGAAGGTGGATTCTTCAAGGCTTCTAGAATATTATATAGTTGAAGTAGTGTGCTGATTTGCTTTTTGAGTATTAATATTCAGCATCGTTCTGTGACAGCTGTTAGATGTGTAGGGCTATGCCTTGGCTTAGTTGTCATTGCTTACTGCAAGGAACTGGCCTGATGTTCTTGGTGTGCCAGTGCAAAGACCTATGCAGTATTTTTCTCCATGACGTGGAAAGAGAATTCAAGGAACAGATCCTGTTTTGACTCATGAGCTCAGCATTTTGTGGCTTTTATGGGAAGTCTGAGCAAACTTGGATGTTCCCGTTGTCAAGCAGAAGTTCGATAAAATTAGTCTATTTTGAGGGGAAGAAACATCTTCCAATGAAACCATGGTGGTTGAGCAGACACAAACAGCTGCCAGCGTCAGAGGTATTGCAGAGCTCTTGTCCGGGTGCTATGTGGCTGAGAGCATTCCTGTGAATGGAAGTGGTATTTCTCAAATGCTGAAGTAGCAATGCTCAAAGTGACATGCAAGCTCTTCCAAGAAAATGTGGCTCAGCAGAAGGAGGTTGCATGTTATGGAGCTGAGTGTGTGACAGAGAGCTTTGATGCAATACAGTAGCCTAATTGCATTTGGGAGCCTCGCTGTGCTGTCTGTAATCACCTTTGAGGTCTAAGCTACCTGTTTGGGAGTCACGGTGCTATTACAGATAAACAGGAATGTTAGAAGGTTGCATTTCTTTGTCTCCTGTGAACCTGTTAAATCGCTTTTTTCAATAAGAATGAGATCAGTTGATGTGGTGTTACAGCAAGAGTTAGGAAGGAATCAGGTGGATGAATTTTGCTTTCTTTGCATCTGATACATTCAGATATGTTAAATAGAATTGACTGTCTTTAGGGGGTGGAGGAGGTTTACATAAAAAATGAATGGGATAGCACTGATCTTTGAATGAAGTCATGACTAACGTGTAATCTGCTTTCTTTGTAGGGGAAAAGCCTTACAGATGTTCATGGGAAGGGTGTGAGTGGCGTTTCGCAAGAAGTGATGAATTAACCAGACACTTCAGAAAGCACACTGGTGCCAAGCCTTTTAAATGTAGTCACTGTGACAGGTATGTGACTGAAATGCACCTTCAGAAATAGTTATTTTTAGCACTTCGTGGAAAGTGAACCTAGGCTGCCTTTCTTGAGATTAATTTGTGAAGGAATCTCTTGGTGGACACAATTGTGTCTAGTAATTTTAGAAATTATTATATTTGATATTGGAGGAAAAAAATAATCTGGGTATAGCTTGTAGCCCAATGGGGCACGTTAGTGTTGAGAAATCCCTCGTGTTACCTGTTGGTACCTGTAGAGTATCTGGGTGCCTGGGGACACTGAGTACTTCCATGTGCCCTGGGATCACACAATCATAGAATGGGTTGGATTGGAAGGGACATGTAAGATCATCTAGTTCCAGCCCTCTGCTGTGGACAGGGTTGCCACCCACTAGATCACATTGCCCAGGGTCCCCTCCAACCTGGCTTTGAATACCTCCAGGGATGGGGCACCCACATAATGTGGGGCCCATAATATGGGGTCTCAGAATACAGGGGTGCAACCCCCAGCTAACATGCCAATTCTTCCCTTGCAGGTGTTTTTCCAGGTCTGACCACCTGGCCCTTCACATGAAGAGACACCTCTGAACAGGTCAAGAGGTGAATCCTGTGGGCTAAGAGGCGTCAAGGTTGAAGAGCCTTGAGCAGAGGGATGCGTGTTCCAGCCAAAGCATGCCATTTTGCACCCTACCCAGTTGCCTCCAGGACCTCACTTCCTTGAAGGTCTTTTGAGGGCTAATAAGTCATGTAAGAAACGGCATAGCAAGCATGGTGCGTGATGTTTGGGGTTTCCTGGACTCATACACTGGTATCTAACTTTCTGAGTGGCTCCTAAGCCTTTGCCGTGAGCATGTGCACTGAGAATGTTAATGATTGGGCGACTGTATGCTATGAGGATCTATTGACGATTGTATGCTGAGGCACATTTTTTTTCTTGTGGTTGTTTTATAACTGTAAGAGAAAAAAAAAAAGTCTGAATGTCTTGTATGTGAGGAATATCTTGTGAGATGGGACGACCACCAATCATTTCCAAGGGATGGGGGGAGGGCTGTCTGCACCTTTTTAGAGGGAAAACAGAGAGGGGAAAGGGGAATTAAAAAGAGTCAGGATGCCAGAATGGAGATGGGGACCTCCCCATTCCTGTGTGAGAGGAGCTTTAGGTGTCTGGTGCAGCTATTAAACGTGCAATGTGTCAAGTAGCTTGTTTTACTTGCTACAGAGCTCATTTGTAATCCATTGTATAAGCTGTGTATTTACAAATGTAACACAACTATAACTTTTCATTATAATACAAAAGTTATTGCATGGTTCTGGGGAACTATATGCTTTTCCATTCTTTAATCAGGACTGCAGTTTTGATTCCAGTTAAGAGCAGCTAAAATACAATTGGTCTAATGTTACATAATGTATGGAACATGAATAATTTTTTCTGTTGGGTGGATAAAACCACTATTGGTTAGAAACTGATTTTTCTCATGCAGCTAATTTTTCTCTTATTTATGCCTTGAGGACTAACTTCTGGTTTTCTAGCTGTTAATGCACTGTTGACCTTAATAATGGTGCCTTATGCAAGTGACCTTCTCTTGTAGGGGGTCTTATACAGGGGTATGGGTGATGCATGCTTTATTAAGGCTCTCTTTTCACCTGGCATTGTACTGTATCAAATGTATAATATGAGGGAAAAAAAAAAAGGTTACTTCCAGGGTCCTCCTTCACAAAGACAAATATAGAGAAAAGTCATTCATGTCAGTACAGTATTTGTTTAACTTAGACAGTTTGACTGTGTTACAGTATAATGCATATGCCAATTGAATACCTGACCAGTTCTGCCACCTTGAGACTTTTTATATTGACCTTGCACAACTGTGTATATACACACCCCAACTGTACTTAATATGTTGAGTTTTCATACATATTAAAGATACAGAAGTATTAAAAGATGTATTTGCTTAAAAGGCACAAGTTTCACATCTATATATCTAGCTATCTGTTGGTCATACAGAAAGAAACTATATTACTTTTTTTTTTAAAAGTGGGCAGAAGAATAATTGTGTATGTATATTTGTGTGTACAGTCTGTGTATGTGTGTATATATATAGATAATATATAAATATTTTTTTTAAAAGGAAAAAAATTTAGAACACATAGCTAGAAAATGCCACAGCCCATCAAAATATTCCTCCCCCCCCCCCCCCCCCCCCCAATTATGGTCATTAAGGAGACAAAGAAATGAGAGATACAGTTATTAAAATCTAGTGTTTTTAGAGGCTTTACCTTTAGCTTAATGGTGTGCTAAAGGCTTTGTTGGCATTCAGTCCTTCTCAGACTGCTGACTGTGTTTTGTAGTTATTAGGTTGTCTGGAATAGCGTATCTGTGGCCATTTAAGAATGATATGAACCGAATATTGGCATGCTAAAAGAATATTAGCTGTGTGCAGATGAAGTACACTCATATTTTGGCTTTCCAGCTTATGGAAGGACTTGTGAGTGAGCTAGTCGTTGTGGTGGTTGAGCTCTAATTTTGCATAGTTCAGCTAAAATGAAGACTGTTTTTTCCTAGAATAGAAATAGTCTGTCCAAAAGCAGTTGTTTTTTTTGTTTGTTTTTTTTTTTTTTTTTTAACCAGCTCACTACAGTTGATGCAATGAAACACGTGATCTGTTTCTTTTTCTATTTATTATTGGTCTTGCTTACTATGCTAATACGTTGGTATATCTTTCCTGGAAATGTATGTAGATAAGTGGTTTAGGAAAAAGTATGTGCCAGTGATCTGGTTCTATGGAACACACAGGCTTAAATCATTCTCATTTCATTTTTACTTTAAATTGCTTGAAAATGCACTTTCCCCCCTCCCCCCCAAAAAAAACTAAAATTTCCAGAAAGTGGATTTCTATTTAGAGTTGAGTTTTGTTTTGTTTTGTTTTGTTTTTTAACTCCTTATTTGCATTGTCCTTGGCTTAGCCATACTTCTGAAAAGCAAGAAAGTAAACAAAAGAAAAAAATTACCCCAAACAAAAACCATTAAACTTGCACTGGCTTGTCTCAATTGTGAAATACCATCAGACTTGTGTGGATGGGGTGGGGCTGTGTGCCATATGTCAAATGCCTGTAATTTTCTTAACAAGCAAGTACATTTTGTTCAGGTGATAACTGAGCCTCAATCAAGCTGAAAAATAAAAAATAAAAAAAAAAAACATTTTTGCTTGAAATTTAAGAAAAAGTTTCTATTAGTGAAATTTCTTTTTTTGTTTTTGAAGCACCCTGTTATCTAAAGAATCTCTTTGTAAGATTTTTGTAAAGATTTTGTTTTACAAGATTTTATTTGAAATTGTTTTTTGCAAGATTGTTATATTTCTGTATGAATGTATTTTTTATTGGAATAACATAAAAAGAAATTCTTATCAGCATCATGTGTCTGGCTTCATCCTTCTCCCTGGAGGCACACACACCAAACAATGCCAAATGCTGTGTTGACGCTTTCTCTTGAGTCATCTGATGCATGTACAAACATCTTTGGGTCAAATCGCCTTGTGGAAGACAAGCTCCTGTGAGAAAGTAACTTGATCAGTAGAAGCACAGTGTTCTTCCATATATGAACAGCTGTTGTTGGTTCAACTTCTGTCTTAGCAGAATAAATAGTTAACAGGGTTGTTACTGCAAGGCCACACCTTGATTCTGAGTCATTGGCTCTAGAGAAGTGAATGCACACAGGACAACTTATGCTTGTGGGAAATGAGATTCTGTGAGCATTTATGGTGAAGGAACTAAACAGTAGATGCCCAGGTGGGAGGCCTGTAAACTTTTTAGCCGGGTGTGGGCCTTTAAACTGTCCCATCCATGGAGAAGCAAACCTGACACCTTCAAGGCACAGCTGATGGAAGGAGCCATGTGAAGCCTGCATGGCCCAGATGAATGGACCTGAGCATTCTGCAGGTCATTAACCTGCTGATGACCTCCAGCCAGCCAACTTCAAGAACAGCAAGAGCAATGGCTCTTCAAAGCATGACTGGCATGTGCACCAGCTTTAGACACATGCAGAACTCGTTTTATGTTGCCCTGTGGCTTCTGTTTCACTCCTGCTTGTGTTAAAAATCCCTTGAGCATTGAGTAAAAGCATTGGCAGAAATAGCAAAGTTACATGCTGAGAAACTTGACGTTAGGCATGTGAATTGAACTCCCTGGATTTGAACATCCATAGTTTAAAATTAGAAATGTTCTAAAAACGCTACGGGGAAAAAAAAAAAAAAAAAGAAAAAGAAAAAGAAAAAAAAAGAATACATTCAAACTGAGGTGGAAAGGGCATAGCGGGGAGACCCTGGACACGTGCCTCAGCCTTGCAGCAGGCAAGTAAGCAGGCAATATGCCTCTGTAGGGGCAAGGGAGAATTGGCAACTTAAGCAAAATCCTGATCTGCAATAGGAGGGAGACAGCACAGTTTTCCACTTACAGTACCTCTCACAATGAAACAGATGGGGTCTGAGAAACTTGTTGCAACAGAAATAATAAAAGGCTACGGAGGATGAGGGCTTGTGACACTTTGCCTTCTATTCTGTATACAGCCTAGAAATGGAAATATTTTTAAAGAACTGAGTTTGACCTTGGAGCTTCTCCACCCAAAATGTTCAGTGGGTGTGTAATACAGAACAAGGATTGGCAAATTCTTGACTGCTTATGGGGTGTGTGTCATCCAGGGTTGTGTCTTACCATACCTTCATTACAAAAAAAAGGCATGATAAATCCGCTATTAAGCATGTTACTGTGATGCTGAGATTCCATCCCTTTTTATTTCCAGAGAGATTGTACTAACAAAGGGGGTGTTCACAAGAAATAAATAAAGGCTGTTGGCAGAAATATTGGGCAACAAGGAAACAGCAAAGCAGAAAGCAATAGTCATTTCAGGGGTAGTACATTTCAACATGAACATCTATGACAGACTTGCTTGATTTCAGATTTTGTAACCTAGAGCAAATGAGAAGGGATATGAATTTAAGGGTAAAGATGTCAGGTAGCTTAGACAGTGTGCAGACCTTGATTAGTAGGCTCAGCAAGTTCCAACAACTGCAGCTGAGGTGAAAGCAGGAACAGGGCCTTCGAGCCAACACGTTGTTTCTTACTGCAAAGGTTACACACAGTGTGTTTGTGCACTTAGGCACACATATGTGCATGCAAGGGTCAAGATGAAACAGCTGAAAACCCAAAACAGAGGTGGTTTTTATTTTTTTTTTTTTTGGGTGTGAACAAATGCTGGCCTTCAAGTGGTCAGTGCAAGCAGGGCAAATCACAGTTTTCCAGCTTGTTTGAACAACTGTGTATTTATTATATATACAGAGGCTTTAAAGTTCACAATAGACAGATGTTTGCTATTTTCTTAAATTGGGTATTTATCTTGTTTGAATGTTACTATTTCTCTCCTTCTAAAGCATACTATGAATTGTCACAAACAAAACTTAGAATTGTTCCTGTTAGAGCATGTTGAAGACAAACTGTTTAGTGCTTCCCTCTCTAGAAGTTGTGTACTATTCCTCTGCCTTCATGCCTTTGTCCTTTCCCATTCTTCTTAACCTGAGTATTTATTCTTTATCTTCATTAATTGCACTGAAGGCTCAGAGAAATAAAAACAACCTCTCCAATCCTCACAGGTGACAGCACCAAAATCACAGACAAGAAGGAAAAACGCTACAGTGAGTGTTTCAAAAAGTAGCTGAAAGATATTTATACAGCCCCAAAGGGGCATAAGATCTTACACGTTCACACAACAGGGAGGGATAACCTTTAATAAGATCCATGGTCTGTCTTCTGGAAGGGCTTCTAAACTTCATCTGGAGTGAGAAGTTAAGGTAATGGGAGCATTAACTGCACAGGAGCAGGAGGACACATACAGAAGGTTTCCTCTCTGCTCTGAAGAGTGTATAAGATCCTGTATTTTCTCCTTTTTTCCTCCATTCATAATGAATTCCTTGGAAACAAAATGGTTTGGAAAGGGAATCTCTGCAACACGTCTTCCTTGACTCTGCAGGATTGTTTCCTCAGCTAGCATCACTTTTTATAAAGCAGGCAACAAGATCAATGCACCAGTTCTTTAGTTCTGGCAACAAGATGAAACCTATTAGCCTGTACCCCACCCCTCCCCCACCAAAAGTGTCTGCCTGCTTTTACTTTATCCCATGGGGTTGTGCAGACAGGAGCCGCTGACAGGTACTTCTGAGTCAGAGCTTTTGACATGGCAAGATACTCTGCTGAGATTATACAGTCCAAGGCAATAGTATCTTCATTTTTTTCCCTTTAGCTCTCTCACCCTCTACTCTGTTTCATCCCTTTTTCATGGTCCCTAGGTATATGACATTTATTTTTGATCAAACCTGTAGCAATACTGTCTCATAACCACTTCAGTTCATACATATAAGGGAGAAGGAGCAGATGGAGTATTGCTTTTGCGCATAGGTCTACAGAGGTTTAATCAGTCTAGGATTCATTGGAGCTATCCTGGGAAATAAGGGCTTGCAGGTTCCTGCATTAATATTGTGAGGCCTTGGTCAAACGCTCATTTAAGTCAAGGAGAAATTCCTCCCTGAATTCAACTGGTTTCAGACAGTCATTTCTCCACAGGACTAAACCTGAAGAGGTAGATTTGAAATCCTTTCAGAACAAAATTTTGAATCAATAACATTCATGGCTACATTTTCTTTATTTCCCAGGCACATTTGATATCAGGAGTTTAGAAGTGCAAGCATCAGATAAATTATTTTTTAAAATAGAAATGTGATCTTTTTTTGTTGTTGAAATATATTTCTGATGGCAGACTGATGACAAAGACTTGCAATTTGCACTGCAGTTTCAGTTACACAATAGCTACGTAATCATTGTGTAAGTTATGGAAGTGACTGTGTTCGACCATGATGTTTTAAATCTCAGTGTTTTAAAAATCATTAGCTAAGAATTATTAACTGAAGAAATTAACTGCATTTGTGGGATACCATAGCAACAAAGGGAGCCTGTGGCTTTAAAGAAAGTGCTGCATCAGGCACACACCAGCACATTTCGTTAAAATAAGGAGACAATATTCCAAAATTGCAATGGAGGCTACAGATTGGTAGTGTTCTTGAAATATAGGTTTATAATTTGTCACAGGAAAAATAACTCCGTAGAGCAAAACCGCTAAGGTGTTTTAGGATGATCTATTATGCGGAGGTGGCTGGTGCAGCCATTTTGGATTGGTGTCATGATAGGAAACAGATGGTCTATGCATTTCTGTTTAACATTTAAAGGGGTATAGAAAGCAACTGGGAGGCGATGCATTTTGTTAATGGGTAAGTAAAGCCTCATATGTACAGTTAAAATAGAAGATAAAAAACAAGCAACATTTTTTCAGCACAAATGAGGCAATGTAACAACACTCTTCAGTAGATTTATTTGACTTCTTTCACTTTAAATAATTTTAATGAGAAATTCTCTAAATGTTTTTGAGCGGAGATAGAAAGTAATCTGGTAACCACATGTCTTGATGTAAGCCAAGCTGTTCCTTAACAGCACTTTCTTTCAATACAATATAAATTTAGCTGGAATTAGCATTGCTGAATATTAGTCCCTCAGTGCCTCACTTGCTAAACCTCCATCTTCTTTTTATTG